TCTCTTCTCCATAATCTCCTCCATCAAATCTACGTCTTGACACAGAGAACCTCTCTGAAACAATTTCTCCAACAAAGATCTTCATTACTGTAAAAGAGGTTGCGGCTAGAACTACACCCACCAAGATAAACACTCATCTGTAACCTGGTTCCATCATTGAACCATGGCTCTGATACCACTTGTTGTGACCGCATGTACCACCACCCTAACTCCACATTAGTATGATATTGTCTGCTTTGGGTCAAGCCCTTACGGATTTGTTTTTGGGCACATCCCAAAAGGCCTCATACTAATGGAGTTGGCTGAGCACTTATATATAGATACATTTCTTCTTCTCCATCCGATGTGGGATAGGTTTGTTACCCAACAATTTTCTCCAAAACATTTATTTTAACATTTTTTCCCACTAAAATTATGAATTTTCCTCATGCATGCTATTTCTAATGCCCTAAATCAAACAATGCATAATAAATAACCTATGTATTACTAATCAAACATATAACTAATACAAGTCTTGCTTAGATATACACTTTACCAAACGACACCTTAAAGAATTGTTGAAAAATCAGACGACATCAAAAAAGTAGCAATTTATACTTTGTTATTGTTGTAAAACTCGGATATCTATTGTCACTGTTGGTTAAAATATATAGATAATTAAGATAGTTGATACCTTTTCATGTACTTGGTTTAGATTGTACCAACGACATCTACACTTCAACACTAATAAGATATATAGTTCTTGGCATACTTATCAAGATGAGGAAAAGCCTCATAAATCCAAACCTGAAATTAATAAAATAAAAAATAAATGAATAGAGGCTATGAAATGCTATATAAATATATAAGAGTCTATCATAAATCAAGTACATAACTGATAATAAGTACCAGAAATGCCCAGGGAAAGTCATACAGAGCATACGATGCATTCCCTCTTTCATTATACATTTTACTCTGTTCTTCAAATTGATTTTATTCTTCAAATACAACACTGTTAGATCAAAATGCTCTTTCCCCCATGGATAACTCTTAAGAAATCTAAATCATCCACCATTTTAATGTGGTTTGAATCCACAATCTATATCGATCATGGATAAGCAACATCGAGTGGACGAACCAAAATAAAGTGCACTTCAACTTCTGCTCATTATTCAATCGGGTACCCTTGAACAAACTCATCGACTTTGTAGTAGTGATGTTCTTATTCTTGGTCACCTTATAATGAAATTTCTCACATTTTTGAAGGACTTTTGTCATTTTTGCATCATGGGGATATGCTGAGCAATTTAGCTCCGTAATGAATGAAAATTCTCTTAAGCTAAAACAAGCAGACTTATCATTCACACAGAACCACATTTCATGTAATTTTTTTAAAATCATTTTTCACATGTTGTAGCAACATATAATGGACCATCTGTCCATTGAACTTGAAATATTCTGGAATATGCCTCAAGTGTCCAAAACAAGTACCTTTCAAGTCATTATAAATTTTTTGCTTGAACTAAAAGTTTTCTAAAATCACGATAAACAACCATCCGTGCTCTCATTGAAATTTTCGCTGGAAACTATCCTAACTCATCCATCCATGTGGTTAGATTATACGACTTACAAGAGATATCCCTTGCACAAATTAGCAGGGACATAGGATCATCATCCTCATCTCAGGTATCTCTACAACTCTCATCATCTTCACTATCAGTTTTTTCTTCACTAGATTCAACATCATCACTAGCATGGACACTACTGGCCTCGCAGTTGTGAATCTCAGTCATTATATCAGAATCTGAGTTAGACTCAGGTTCTTCAACTATAATTTTTTTCTTTTTTGAAGATTTGAAAACTTCTACAGCCTTTCGTTTCTTATTTTTAGAAGCCTTAGAAACAGATCATTTAACGATGCCGCCTCTAATTTTAGCCATATTGTACTATATATAAAAATATAATTTTCATATCAAAATATCGACCAGTAGTCTATTAACACAATTAGAGTAATGTTAAAAAAAATATGCAAAACAAGTAGCAATTCCAACAAGACTCAACAATGCCATTGACATAAATACCATAAAATCGATCAAAACACAGTTAAAAATTTTCAAATTGATAGGCCAGATAAACATAAAAAAATAAAAAAATTCTACGCATTATCCAAAGCAAAACATCAGTAATGATTCCAAATAAAAAGCATGAACTAAAATGGGTGAAATTTTTAGAACTTTCAGCAGATATCTAAATTTAGCTATTGCAATAAAAAAAAATCAAATAGGCTAAAAGCTATTGAAAACATTATTAAACTTGCTTGAGAGGAAGAAGATTGAAAAAGATTCAACTGAACTTGGGGAAGAGGATTGATGAAAAAAAGACCCACTCCAGTTCGTTTTTCAGGGACAATTGTAGGATCTCACTTTTCTCTATGTTTTAAATAATGGAAGATGGAAGGTTTGTTAGAGAATGGTCAGTTTTATGGAGGTTGATAATTTCGATAAAACAGGTTTATGGAAGACGAAGAGGCACTTGGAGAAGACGTTCTCTGAGAACGTTCTGAGGTTTCCTCGGAAAATGTTTACAAAATATTATTAAATATTTTTTTTTATTTCTTGGGATTGTAATTTAATTTAATGTAAAGTGTTGGGATGAAAATAATATTTTATATACTTGTATTTTTATCCTCCAAGTTCTTACAGTGATAAAAAGGTCCATGACCCCACAACTCAACCCCATTTTTTCACTTTTCCTAACCCTAATCCTAAACATTAAATCAAAAAGAAATCAAGCGTCTATTTCTCAAATTAAGTTTTGAGAGTGAACCTTTTGCCAATTAATCTTTGATAACCTACTGGGAGCAAAAGGGATGAAGATTCAGGATTCCTCTAGCTTGGTAGCAGAAGTTATTGCAGTAAGGAAGGATTGCAATACTGTTTAGAGAATCAATATTCTCATATCATAGTGGAATCTGATTCTCTGGCAATGGTGAATATCATTAATGGAGTTTGGGATACACTTTGGAGTGTGATAATGGAGGTCAACTCTACTAATTTGATGTGAAGTTCTATATCTACAACATTCCTTAATTTTTGTGATTTATAGTACTCTTAATGTAATTTCAAATAATATATATTTCTCCGTCATTCTCAATTATGCAATATGGGTGAAATTTCGAGAGTTAACCATTTTTTTAATATTCTAACTTAATTTTAGTACTATTTTATAGATACATAACATATAAAAAATTATCTTAGATTAATTGAAATGTGAAAAGATAGTAGTTTGTGTAACACCTCGGTATTAGAAGGAGCTAAATTTAGAAAGAGCTAATTTGAGATTTGTTCAAGTAAAGCTTAAGTTGTGAGTTTTAGGTTAATTTCAAACGGTCATAACTTTTCGTACATGATGATTTAGGTGGCCCAAAAGATATCAAATGAAAGATATTGGAATCCTCTTTCCAACGTCATTGTGTTTTCTAAATTTTGAATTCGGATGAGGGAGATATGCCCATTTGAAGTCAACCTGTCCAATTAAGAAAATTTACCAAAACTAATGAAGGTTATTTTTGTCTTTTCCTTACCCCATCAGATCTATACGTTTTTAGTAATATTTTAGGAGTCTAAATTGATTTGGGTCAGTTTTTACAACTTTAAATTATGCTTAGTGTTTTGAGATGAGTTCAAGGCGTTCGTCAAGATTCTTGAGATTTGTCGAGAAATTTTGTCAAATTAAGGTATGTAAGTTTTCATAGTGTTGGGTTCGTTCACCCACATGCCAATCATGTAAATTTCATCCGTAATTTTGTTCTAAAGGTTGAATGATTTGAATTCTTGATGGGTGTTCTTGAGGTTTTGTTCTTCATGCTTTGTTTATGGAGTTTGATGAAATCTTGAGGTGAAGATTTCGATCTTCGAGGGTTGTTCTTAAGGAAAAGTGAGTAGGTTATTGTGTACTTGTATTGGGTAATTGAATCTAAGGAAAATTTGAGGAAAGCAATCGAATCTCGGAGATTTAGGGTCAGAAAACGAGAAGAAAAATTCGTTGGGTCGTTTTGAGGGAGGGGTGGCGCGACGCGCCACTGATGCACCAGAAGGGCGGGCGCGGCGCCCCTATAGTGCACCAAGATGAGATCTCTGAACTTCAGGGGCTGGCGCCACTCAGTGCGCCAGGGTCACCTGCCCCCGTCGTTTTTCCATCGTTTGACCCGTTTGAGTTCTTTTAAGGTGTATCTTTACTCCTTTATGATTCTAACTACTCTAAACTACATCTAAACATCGAGAGATCCTTCATAACATGAATCATAACCCTTGAATTCATAATTCAAATTCAAGGTAGAGTTAAGGGTTAAGTCTTTAGAGTTCTTTCGAGTCATTTTGAGAAGTCTTTTACAATCTTTTAAAACTTGTTTTAAGACTTGATTGTGTATGAGAATGAGGAGAGTTGAGTTTCAATTTTCAAAATGAATATATGGGAATTAAGTATTTCTAAGAGTAAATGTTTTTTACATTTAAAATGAGAGGAAACATCGATTTTCAAATGAGTTCATGAGGAGTTTTTGAGTATAATCTCTTTTAAGAGAACCTTTTGAGTAATAATATCAAAGTTTGAGGTTGAGGAAATGTTTTCAAACATATGAGTTGAGTTATATTATTGGGAATGGTATTGAGCAACGATATGGGGATGAGTTCAAACAACTCAGAGTCCTCATAAATCATGTAGCCAACATGGGTAGAAAGGATCATACTTTTTAGATGATTCCTTATTGATTTTTAAGCATAACTTAGTGGATCTACTTAGTTGAGGATGTCTTATACTCCGACAAGGTATAGGACAATTCTGACAGCGTGGAGAAAACAATGTATCATCACATAGCTCATAGTGATGATTGTCGGATAGAGAATCAAATTGAATAAGATAAACCAACACACCATTGATTAGGCTCTTGAAAACCTAGCACAAACAGTTGAAAATTGTATACATCCACTGCCACATCACACACTTGACACTCGTACATGAGATAATTATTTTAAACATAGAAAAGTAAAAATACAGAAAAACAACTACTATATATTAGGAGCTTTTGACTTTAGATTCTCCTTCACAAACAAATGTTCCATCGGTACTGAAATAGTTGCAACCCTTTTTACCTGCGCAACAATTGGTGCATATTTTACCTTTACTCCTTTTATTTCCTGGACATATCGAGTACGCTATTCTTGGATTACAATTAAAGGGACAAACTTTATTTATTTCGTCTATAGTCTTTTTCGTCTGTCCTTCACAAATGAATGTTCCGTTAGCACTGAAATAGTTGCAACCTTCAGTGCCTGAGCAACAGTTTGTGCATCCAACTTTAAACTTCTTATTTCCAGATTTTGGGCATCTCCCATACTGAATAGTTGGATTACAGTTACGTGGACAAGCAGGCGCTGCATCCACTTGGCTTAAAAGTAAAATAGTTCCAGCAAAAATGGCTGAATAAATAAATAAAGTCATTAGCAAATATGTATAAGGGTTTAATGTAGAATTACCATAGATGATAAGAAATTTAAAGACTTACCAAACAAAATGAGGAGAGCAACTTTGTTAAAGGCCATACTTTCTTGTGTTTATTACCTTCAACTTGTTATATTTGAGTGAAGAGTGTGTTATCCTCTCCACCTATTTATAGCAAATTAACTCATCTATAAGGAGTAGTTTGGTTGGAAACAAATTATTTTGGGATTAATTATTTTTGGATATGTTATCTCATTATGTGTATGAGATAACTTATTTCATTATTATAGTAAAAATGGTAGAATAAATAAATCAAAAACTATCTAATACCTCCAACCAAATACATGATAAAAATATTTTGTATTTTATTACGAAATTATTATACCTTATATATACCTCACATCAAACGATCTTATAGGTAAACTTATGCATTGATAGTGTCAATTTTTTTTTATACCATGTTGTAATAGATAACATGTGATGGTAACAAGAGATGCTTGATGGTGTTTGTCAGATACTCAGTTTGTTCTCTTTATTTCGTTTTAAAAAAATGATGATTATTTTTATTTTAAACAACTTTTTAATTTTAATTTTTTCACATAACATGCTAACAATGGGCATAACATTAAAAAATATTTTGATGTATTTAACATATCTTTAAATTTAAATTACAAATCTAATAATTCTTTTATATTTTCTAAATTTCATATCAAATTAAAATTATAAGTTAAACAAATTGAAACCGAGAAAAGGAGTATAAAATAATATTTGCAGAGAGTGTTTTAGTTCCCTTTTTTTCCCCTTTCCTTTCCACTATGCTTGGGAATCGAACCAATCTGCAAAAAGCTTCCAAAATGAGTACAATTATATCTGTATAATATAATTAACCAATGTGGTAGGTATGACTAAGGATTTCAAAACCTGAAAAGTGGAGGTAGGTAACGTTATGATTTCAAACACTTCGATTAAATAAAAAATGATAAATTTATAAAAGTACAATTATTTTGGTTACGATGCAAAAATATAACTCAAAATTTACGTAATAAAATTGGAGATATATTTAAGTTCAGTTAGTCAAGTAAAAATGATGTTTGACTGTCAATAGTTCGAGGATGAAACAAATAATTCAGATCGAGCTTAGGAATATTTTCAATACTACTCTCAAAGAAGAAACAAAATAGATATAAGCAGAGGCGGATCTAGTATTTGGAGGTCGTGGGTGCCACAACGTTCAAGTAAGATAAAAGGATCGATTGCTTTAATTTTGGGTTACATATCGGGTTATTGATTATTCTATTTTTTTATTATAAACAAATCGATCAAATATGCATGTTAGTAATATTTTCTTCTAGATATTCTAAGATTAGAGATAACTAAAACAATTCAATTTTGATTTTCTTTTTGGAATTAGATGTCTTATTCGCTGAAACTTTGAGAAAAAAAGATTTTTCATATTAAAATTTGAGTTTGTATAAATCATCTAATAGTATTAACATAATATATTCATATTCCATTGACTTTATGTGTTGTTGGAGATATATAGTAGGGAAAGAATAAAAATTGTAGTTTCAGCCTAGTCATCTTACTTAGCAAGAACGTCGGTGAAGACCGAAAGAACCTTTAAATTAGAAAAAAAAACTCTAATAATAATATTCATCATTTTTAAAAATTATATTTTTTTAAAATTACTATTTAAATATATTCTTAACAATATTTATTTGACGTTCATAATTCAGTACTCATTAATTGATAAAAAAATAAATATGTAACACTCATATCAAGAGATTAATAATTAGTGCAAGAGAAAGTAAAAAAAAAGCTAAAAACTAATTATGAAAAGGAGTCAATTTGAATTAATAAAGAATAGTAAATAAATAAGAATGAACGGAGTGAGGTTCAAACCTGCATTGGTTGTGTGGCAGACCAACTCCTTTGCTAATTGAGTTGTTCCGCATTATAGTTATTGGGTGACAATAGTAATATATATTGAATTATTATACATATGTACATATATATACAACGTTTTTTTGAGATCCCTGGGTGACGTGGCACCCCATCTGTCCACGTAGATCCGCCCCTAGATATAAGTTTTTGCAACAAATTTTCAATACTTCTTTGAAAGAACTATGATGATTTGAACTTGATCTCTATGGAAGATTTGTGCTTGTGGATCTTCTTGAAATTTATTTGATTATCAAGAAGAGTCTAGCATATTTTGATCTCTTAATGAATATCTCAAGAGTTTATGAGATATTTTAAGATTTATTTAATATCCATTGATCTTTGTGAATATTCCATGAACTTGCGGGATATTTCAAAATGACTCTTTAAGGTATATTATAATATTACTTATATAGGCATAATTTAGGATTTAGGGTAAAGTAGCTTCCAAAAAACTTAATTGAAATAGAATTAATCTTGTAAAATCCTACAAATTTTCAATGTCTAAATTAGATTTAAATTTCTAATTTCACTTAAAAATTAAGATACACCCAAATATTATCAAATTGATATTTTAACTGTGGATTCTCACATTTATATTTAAATATTTTAAAAATATGATTTTACCATATATGACTTACAAAAAATATGAATTCATGTGAACCTGCAAACCCCTGATGGCCAGAGAAAATACTTGTCCAAATAGAAATTAGGATTGGTACTTTATTGGGAAAGAGAAATTCAATCTAGTACTAAAGAATATTTGTTAGTATAGTATCTTTGAATCAATACACAACTTAATATACAATATAGTGTATAACTAATGATTACATTAGTTATACATGACATAAAAAAATGTACCAAATAAGGTATTATTAATACACACACCTAATGCATGTACACTCTATCAAACGACTCCTATATGGTATGTCAAGTTGTGTATTACTAATACCAAGAAATTTTAGGTATTAGTAATATGCACTCCCTCTGTCCCAATTTATGTGGTCGGATCTCGAGATTCAAACAAGTCTATCTTTGACCGTAATTTTTTCATATATTTTTTAAACATTTTGAATTATCAATTATTGTGACTTATAGTGATTTTTACGTAGTTTACAAATATATAAATTTTGTTTCCAAAAAATTGAAGATTCCATCGCAAATTTCCGGTCAAACTTAAACTGTTTGACTCCCGAAAAATGAAAAGTGTCACATAAATTGGAACAGAGGGAGTAACATTTTAACACTTGCATTAGAAAAAATAATTACAAAACTATCCTTAAAGCCTTTTCATTTTCTTTGTTGTCATACGTTTTTATTTTTATTTTTATTTGCTTTTTATTTACTGTGGAGTGTGCCGATACAGAATTGTGATTATAAGAATCTTTTTATTATTGTTGTTAATAAGCTAATTCTAATACTGAAATAAAGAAGAGGCTAATTATATACATATATATATATATATATAAAGAAATCTCCAATTTGAAAATAATTAAAACTAAATTCATATTTAAAAGAACTACAAAATCAAATCTAGTGATATATGCATCAACGGTACTCTATCATCATGTGATGCATTAACCTTCCTAAATGAGTATAATTATGTACTCCCTCCGTCTACTATTGTTTGTCATATATACTAAAAATAGTTGTCCAAAATTAATTGTCAATTTAAACAATCAAGAAATAATTAGTCTTTTTTTTTTCAATTCTGTCTTTAATAATTACATAACTACCGGTTTCAAAAAATAGTCATTTTAAAATTACAAGACTACTTTAATGTGAAAAAAGTTGCTTTTACAGTTTTCAAAAAGTACAAACCATTTTAATAATGATTGATAGTAGGGTTATATTAGTCAAATTGCACCTTATATTAAATTTTTCTTAAGGGTTGTGCATGATCTTATCCTGACAAACAATAGTGAACGGAGAAAAGAAAAATAGAGAGAAATCCAATTATGAATTATCTAATTTCTATTGCAAAAATATAGCTGAAAATTTGTATAATAAATCTTTAGTCCAAGCACAATTTCATATATACAATAATATACATTTGGTATAGAATAATATACAACACTTTCATATTTCTTTTCAATAAAAGTATTTAAAAATTTGATATACAATATTATATATCCAATATAAAATAATATACAAAATTATAAGAGGCATTTATATACTTATATTGATGAAAAATGGTCGTGATGACACTCATCTATCCCACCAATACAGGTCAACCTCAAACCCAACAATGTGAAACAAATGTGAAAAGTAAAACAATAATAGCATAAGAGCGGAAAACTTAGTCATTCTAAATTACTCACATAACATGGTTGTCATGTGTACATGTCACTAATGTAATAATCTAGAATTTGAAAGATAATACAAGTCTGAATGTCTTTGTTTGTCAAATAGAACAAAACAGTAAGGAACAAGAGGGCCCCACCGGATGACAAGCAACTACCTCTGAATGTATCCTCGAAAAAGATGAAGGAGAAAGGTCGCACAGGTCCGGACTCGGAACCTACACAAGTATAGAAGCAAAGAGTGAGTACCAAACAACACGGAACTCAACAAGTAACCACTTAAACAAAGCAAAACTAGCTGGAATACGAGTACTCCTTTCATCCCAACTGAACCACCTCAACTACTACCTGCATGCATAGAAATCAGCCAGATTTAACAATTTTAAGATACACAGTTCTCAAGGCTTAACAATCGCAGTCCAATAGTTACAGTTCAACAATCAATAAATATCAAGTATGCCAATCATAGGTATCAAGTAGATCAATCACAAGTATCAAGGAGTCACCAGAAAAATAGCACCAAAATATTTTATAGGGTAAACGCAAGATGATGAAACTATCTTTGTCATCAAGAACACACTACAAAGACTCTATTCTCTATATAATGATGAATTTGTAGAAAACAAGCTACTTAATATCGAGAAAAATAATATGTCACCTTACCCAGTAAGTGAATCAATTTAAATGTAATCACAATCCAAAATAATTTACTTAATAAAGAAAGGCACAGTATAATCCGATCGATAACATAAGTAAAATAATTTCAAGGGAATATAATATAAAATTCTACTTTACACTCTTTAAGAACTAGTGTCACAAATTATGAACAATTAAAAATGAAATATACAACTCTGAATAATCCTACTGAATATGAAACAAACAATA